CAATCAATAGAGGCATGGTTAGCAGCCAATCAACCCATTCTTAAAATCATATCCAATGTACTAATGTAAAGGGGAATCAAGTCTACACGTAAGGTTTCGCCTTTTAAGGATATAGTACAAGATTTGTATAAATTAGTACTAAGGGCGGAATTACCAGAAGGAAAAGACATAGACAATAAATATCCTAAGGGTTCAGGTGTTGGTGTGAACTTTGAGGCAAAGTGTGGTGCAACAAAAGAATGAGTGGAACCAGAGTCAAAGAGAGTATGAGCTAAATGACCACAAACAGAAAGTGTACCTGGCACAACATTCTCGGTAACTTCTGCGTTTCTAGGTACCAGGGCAAAAGCTCTCCTTTGGCGTTGTTGGTCCTTCCTTACTCCTCCAGGTACCGCGAGTTTTTAGACTGGTTCAAAGGGGCCGGCTGTAGGATTGGCAAGCTTTGGACAATCTCTCAGCAAGTGGCCAACTTGGTCGCATCTAAAGCATGCTCCTGTGTCTCGACAACATTGTCCCCAATGAGTCTTTCCACAAGTAGGGCAAATTGGAATGGTTCCACCTTTGGGATTAGTAGGACACTGATTGCTTGAACTGGTTGAACTAATTATGCCTGAATTTACCCTCTTGGGAGGCACAACACCGGGTCTTTTGTTATCTCTTTCCCAAAATCGCTTCATTTGGCTTGGTTCCCCGAAGCGCGAGGCTTTAATCCCTTTTTCTGCGATGTATGCCTGATCCACCACCTTCGTATAGGTTGGTAGCTTCAAAACCTCAAGTCTATTCTTGATTTCAGCATCCAATCCTGCCTCGAATTTCTTGGCTTTTCGGGCTTCGGTAGGGATGACGTATGTCGCAAATCGAGCTAATTGCGTGAACTTACTCTTGTATTCGGCCACCGTCATGGTTCCTTGCCTTAGATGTATGAATTTTGCCGCCTTTTGTTCCCGTAACAAATCTAGAAAGTATTTTTCATAGAATACCTCCAAGAATCTTACCTAAGTCACAATATCTTCTTTCTCAGGGTAAGAAGCCATCATTCTTGTGCATCATCTATAAAGGTGAATGTAGCGAAAGTCACCTTCTGTCTTTCTATGCAAAGTAGCATGCGGAAAATTTTCTCCATATCTCTGACCCAAGCTTCTGCTACCAGTGGGTTTGTACTGTCGGTAAATATGGTAGGTTTTAAGTCTTGGAACTGCTTTATTGTAGTTGGCTCTTCTCGTTATTCAGGCATTCCGTTACTTATGTTAGTTTGTAGGGCTCGCAGAAAACTGGTAACTGCTCTTTCCATAATTTGCTCCATTGGGTCGGTACCGCTGATCGACGATCCGGTTCCATTTCCATCATTATCCATTATTACAATGTGAAAACGATTAGTGAACTTCCTTTTTTTTTTCTTTGTTTTTTTTTTTTTGAATCATTTAATTATCACAATATCATATTTATGATTCATAAGATATTATAACAGTACATATATAATTTTCACTTATGCAAAAGAAAAGGTAATAGTACAATGTACTTAGAATACAGTTAAGAGTTAGTGTCTAATCCTATTAATACAAAAACAGAAGAATTAGACTAATCATGGTCAGGTCACAAAAAAGATCTCTTGGTCAGACGTCTAGAAGGGACCGTTAGGCCATCATGAGAACTGGCTTTGGAAAACTAGGCCATGAAATAACCTCACAAACTCCCCCTGCATGAGGGACTCAAACTCCTACCTACTGTGTTCTACTCGAAGCAACTCCATACTACCTGGACTATGTAGACAGGAACACCGTGATCATAACCCCAAAACTCCTGTCCGGTAATCCGTACCAGTATCTCCAAGTATAATGCACTATCGGTGAAGTCCACAACTGGGGTATGGACAATATGCTGTGGAGGAGATGTCGTAGTGCGAATGTGGCTGCTAGGGTATGCATGTCCTCTCCTCTCTGCAAAGCCCAAGGGTAGAGGTGCGACTAGAAAGTGCGGCTATCCTAGGTCTGGAGCAAGACCAACAACGTGGGTCAGATCCAATCAGAAATATAGATAGTACCAAAAAAAAAAAAAAAATTGTGATTTATCCCCCATCTTGATCCTACTAAATCTCGTCACCTGAAAGGGATAACAGCTATAAGCACATAGCAGAGTGAGAAATATTATACTGTGAGTATAGGGGCACAAAATAGTCATGGATAGTTATTTAAGCTAAAACATTAACATAATTTAAGTTGAATAAACAAATTAATTAAGTGGCAGAAATTGAAATACAGAAATTACGTAAATAACTATAACTACGGTACGGAACAGAATATGAATCACTAGAGTGACAATCAGAACAGGGGCCAATGGATCCATGACAAACAGAAGACCATAAAGTAGCCAAACATGGGCCAATGGTTATTTAAATCCCCCAAGGCATGTGATTCCCGCGGTGGTACTTATAGAAAATAATTGTTTACAAAATCATTGTCAAATACTTTTTAAAATTTAAACAAATATATCCATGAGTTTCAATTTAAGCAAATAAGGGTAAAAAAATAATCAATGTAATTAAAATATTAATATAATTTATAAATCACAAATTTCGTAAAATAAATTATGGTAACTCAAAACATATGTAAAATATATTATGGTGACTCAAGGTATAATATAACTCACCTTAAAATTAATTTTAATTTTTACTTTTCGCTTACTGCAACCCACTAAATACTTCAAACTAAACTCAAAAGTTTATATATAAACCTTGGACGCTAGAGAGTAGAGAGAGAGAGAATAATTAGAGTTTGGTGATGATGATGATGCCGATAGATAGCTATTTATATAGTAAAAGAGGCGTGGGCGGCAAGGAGTCTTGGGTGCACGTATGGTTTGTTGTACATAAAATGTTGTATTTTAGTATATTTTGATTTAGAAAATATATAAAGAAAAATATAGTAAAAATATTATAGTACTCAGAAAATAATATCGAATCATAATATAGAGTTTAAATAATTTTTTAGTGTAAACATATACAGACTAAAATGTGAATAATTATTCAGAAAAATTCAAAAAAATATACTATTTTATTTTAAAAATGATAAATTTTATAACAAATGTTGTCTCAAAATTCTCAATTTTTAATACTTCAAAATTCAATAACATCTTAAATCGCATGCTTCCAAAATTTAATATTAATGTGGTGTTAAATTAATTTGAACATTTGGAGCGTCACAGCTGCCGCCTCTTTTTTCCTCCATCGCCGTCGTTACCTCTTCCTCCACCACTACAACTCCCTTTCATTTGCGAACTCATTGTCTTCCTGTTGTCTTTTTCCTCAAATTGTTGTTTTTGTTTTTGTTTTTTTTTTTTTTTCAGCGCTGTTCGTTAAACCAAGGTCGAAAATAACACATTGGTTCGACCATCAACATCCAAACAAAACACGTTGGTTTGACCTTCAACATCCGAACACATTAGTTCGACAATGTACTTCCGAACCAATGTGTTTGGTTTGAAACTATACTTTTGAACCTTACATTTTTGTGCGATACTATACTTCTGAATGAAACAAAAAAATGTATGTTTATTAATTTTTTGCAAGAAACAAAAAAAACCAGTGACAAATTTGAGCTGGAAATCCTTCAATGGAAGTTTATTGGAATTTTAAAATTTGAAACACAATTTCAATGAAGGTTCAAATTTGGTGTGACTACAATAGAGATTGGTGTTGCAATGGAGGTTGGAGCTGCAATCAGTGGTATTTATTAATTTTTATTATCATGTAAATTTGGTGTGACTGCAATGGTGTGAGTTGCAATGGAGGTCGTTAATTGACTGCAATGAACTTTCTCTCTCCCACGTGTGTGGATTGAAAGTGTTGCGTAATGAGTGAGTGTTTTTTTTTTTTTTTTTTTTAGGTCTGTGAGCTAGGAAGGATGTGTACATAGAGGAATGAGTGTATGTAAATAGAAGCTTTCGTAATTCTATTTGTACATCATAAAAAATATTAACACATGTGATTTGTGTGGTTTGAATATAATCTTTCAAATAAAAATCAGATATTTGAAAACAAACTTTCGAACAAAAATGAATTATTCATATATACATATATTTTTTATTAAATAGTTTATATTCAAACAATTATTTTTGTTTAAAAATTTATATCTGAATATTTAGTTTTTACTCAAAACTTTATATCCAAACAAAATAAATTATGTGTATTGAGATTTTTTATAATGTGCAAATAAAATTTCTCCCTGATTAATTTATCAAATAAGATGAATAATATCTAATAATTGAATATTTAAGTAACAAAAGGGTCCATAGCTCAGTGGTAGAGCATTTGACTGCAGATCAAGAGGTCACCGGTTCGAACCCGGTTGGGCCCTTTTTGCTTGAAAGTTTCACTTTTCACTCATGGCTTGTTTTTGCCTCTTTCTTTTGTTTTTTTTTTCCCCCTCCTCGATGTAAAAATGACACTTTCAAAGTCAACAACGGAGCCAAGCTGTGAATACATAAATATATTTATATGTTTCAATTACAATAATTGAAAACCGTTTTAAGTACACATCCCCTAACAACAATTGAAAACCTTTCATGATTCATCACTTTCATTTTTGGCTTGTAAATTTCAGCATTCTTGTCCATGCATGCATAGGCATACCATCATTGCCATCAATGTAATCACCTAACAATAATACTACGCGCCAAAAAAAGAAATCACCAAAAAAGATACATTGATAATTACATTGACTAGTTAGTACAAATTATTTGGGGATGTTTGTATTTTAAATACCTCTTAAAATTGTGTTTTTACTTTATTTTTGCAAGTGAATATATAAGAACGCTCGAAAAATATACATATATACAGAGAATATATATATAACAAAGACGAAAACTTATTTAATTGGTGAAGATGAGAGTCATCCCAACTTTCCAAGCACAACAGAAACAACTAACAGTAACAATCACCTAATCACACTCCAACATTAATACTCAAAAACAACAATTAGAAAAAATCAAAAAATAAAATAAAATAAAATGGAAACAATGCTATGGTGTTTCTTTTAACCATTTCGCTTCCAAACACAATTAGTTACTCAATACATAAAAAGATCCCTTTAAAAAATGGAGCAAAAAAAAAAAAAAAAAACTAAATAAAACTAAGCTGTATTAGTCTTTCCAATGTTACATTTTCCCACCTCATTTCTGCTCCTCAATTTTTTTAAAGAGGTGAACGATACGCACAACACCGTTACAAAAAGGGAGTCGAGGAAGGGTTAACGACTATATGCTTGAGTGGATTTGCCACATCAGTCCCACCGGCATGTTTGACAAACTCGGCCGGAGAGAGAAAACTTCCGTGACATATGCACATTATCCTGACGTCCTCTCCCTTCCCATACTTGTATAGGATTCCCTCTATTCTTCTTCCGTTAGGACCGTGTCCTTGTGTGAAAACGCAAGGCATATCTTCCATTGACCCGCCTCGTTTTTCTACAGGTCTCTTTGATGAACTCTCAGTCTCCGCATTGGACTCACATGCATTTTCCTTTCCCTTTACAGAAGAAGAACCTACAGCCTCTTGATTGCTTTGCTCGCCTTGCTCTTGCAATGACCGAATACTGACAGGGCTTGCTTCACCGCAGCTGCTGGATCCTGTGATGCAAATAAAGAAATGTGAGAGCTCGGATCAAAGAAACTAACTTGGTTCTTTTTTTTCAATTAGTTTGTACTATTTTGCACAAATTCTAGTTAATTATAAACTCAAAATCAAGGTTAAAATTGCAAGCTATAGTCAGGAAATGTAATACATGATGGCTATCCTATTAAACTTTCAGGCATTAAGGTACGTTCCAAGCGAGGATGATTAGCATAAGAGATTCCCAGCATATCACACGATTCTCATTCTTGCAAATCCTCACTTTTCCAAACCCATATAACAGATGGAAGATGATACTTCACCAAACTACATTAAAATCATTAAACAATGTTCGTGTAACCCAATCGCATTTTCTCATGGAAATTTGCATACTCTTAAGCACCTCACACATATTTGTACACTAATTGTTCCCTCTACGGCATATATTGAGACATAAACCGAATTGGATCCATTTACAACAGCCGTGCCTGATCAATTAAGTCGAACAGTCCTGTCCCATGATCATCATCAGCGTAAAATTGTTCCAAGTGTAGGTTCAAGGACAAGTCATTCACAAGGTAGTTTTTGAATTCCAGAAAACTATGTTATCAATTTCCAAAACAAACTATGTTATAGTCATTAACTTGTTTGCATATTTAAAAACAAAACTAAAGCAATGATAAGTAACTTGTATTAGTAATTCCGTCCCACGACTAGATAAAGAGAGAAAAGCTAAATTACTTTTGTCAATCGTTGTTGACCACAACCGTGGTTTGTTATTCTATGATCCGGTTTATGTTACTTATATATGTACATTAATAAAAAGAAATTAAAATGATTTCATAAATGTGTGAAAGTGAATTTCCTTCTTCTCCAATCCATGGAAATCTACCATGAGGAATTTCTGAATAGCAATTACTAATGTCAGCAGGACAGAGAGCCCGCGTGGAAGAGCAATGAAAAAAAAAAGAAATAAAAGAGTAAAAAAACACTAACAATGACAATATTCTCAACTCAATTTTGTTATTAATATTAAAGGTGTCTTCTCATAACAATAAGCCTAATATTTATAACCAACTAAAATAAAGTTTAAATAAAGAAAGAAACAATAATATTATATATGGTTGAGAGATTTGTGAATGGATTTGGAAAAGAAAAGGGGAAAGATAAGTGAAATGTAAATAAAATATACCTACATTTCATATAGTTTCACACGCTTTTTTCATTTCCCTTTCTAAATCCCCTAACCAAACCAAGCGTAAAACTGCAAAATAAATAAATTTACATAATTATTATTGACTCTCCTAAAATTCCGATATCATAATGCTGTGTTTGGTTAGGAGATTTGAGAAGAGATTTAGAAAAAAAAAAATGAAACAGGTGTGCGAAATTATGTGAAATATAGGTATATTTTATTCACATTTCACCTATCTTTTTCATTTCCTTTTCCAAATCTCTCCTCAAATCCCTCAACCAAACACAGTATTAGGAGGGCTTTTATAACCAAATAACCTGCCCCGTCTCAAGTAAGTGCGCTAAATGGTGATATAATTTTAAACACGTAGTTACAAGGAGAAGATTACTTAATAATTAAAGACAATCAAAATTTTATGATGGTATCTTATTAAAGAGGTTTATCAAACCGTATCTCCAAGATGCAGAAAGTCTCGAAAGAGTTTGTCTCGCATTTCATACATCAATAGTAGTTCAATCTGCCGCCAATATTCCACTCCTACCCTCACAAGAAAAATTACAATGCTAATGTTTATCATTAAATATATCTGCAGTGGGTAAAAATTAATCAAGTCTTGGTGCTAGGCCCAATGCGATGCTCACTCCGAGGTTGAGCTAGGTTGGACCTCGGTCCTATGGCCAACACTTGCTCCGAAGCATGACAATCATAGGAGCTCGGCCTAATGTACGAATGTCACTCCAAAGTGGGCCGAGCAACATGGTGGACCTCCTGGACGGGCAGCCAACCACTCCGAAGTAGGTTGAGTAACATGTTGAACCTCCTGGATGGACAGACAATCACTCCGAAGTGGGCTGAGCTACATGTTGGACCTCTTGGTTGGACAACCATTCTAGAGTAGGCCAACTCAAAGAAGGCCAATTCACTGAAGATCTTTCTTGAACCCACAAGAGACAAACAACTCTGCTCCTCTTCCTCTGTATGAACAGAACGTGGAGACATGGAGGTGCAGAGGGACAGGGTACATATATGACAAACCTGCATCTGAATGACAGACGGAGTGGTCGTCCCCCTCCAATGAGAGATGTCCGCTAATGAGACAAACAAAACAGACCTGCACCCAAGTGTCAGGCGGAGTGGTCGTCCTCCTCCAATGGGAGACGACCACGAATAAGACACATTGGACAGATGGCGGGGAGAGAAGAACTTGAACGACAAACAACCTTCTCCTATAAAAGGTGAACACTATTCACTCTCAAGGGATCCGAAATCTACACACTTAACATATATACACTCTTTGTATTCTCTATTCTTCCTCTCCCTGAGTCCCTGACTTTACCATCGGAGGGGTTTCCGACTAAACCCCGGTCGGTCAGCCTCACCGTTTGTTACTCTGTGCAGATCTTCAATTCCTAGAGCACGTTGTTCATCCATGAAGTTCAACCCTTTTTTATAGTGCGGAAATCACCCCCGCACAATATCTATATATATATAAGAAAGAAAGAAAAGAAAAAAAAAATCAAAAATCAAAAATAGGGGCATACAAGAAAATGAAGGACTACCAGGGCAATGGTGATACAAAGCCGTAATGGAGGCTTCATTGTACCAAAATTTTGCTTCAATAATTGTCACTAGTATTTTTATTTCAAATGTCAATCAAACAATAATATAATAAATATAAAATTATTTTTTTGTGCTAATTAATTTACATGAAAAATGTTTTAATATAATCTAGTATGAAAAAAATTTCGTCAACACAAAATGTAATGGTTTTCGCATTCTTACATTATGTTTTTTTTTTTTTTTTTTTTTTTTTTTTTTTTTTTGAACAGATATATTATGTTGAGTTACCAACTTCCTCTTTACACCTCATCTAAAGCATGGATAGCTCAATTTCATTTGGAAAGTTGAGTTCGCTTTTTAATTTTTTGATTTTTTCAACCTCTACTAAAAAGTTTATTTAGATTGATTTTTTAATTTTTGTGATAGAAAAATTAAAATGATTATGATTTAGATGTGATATTTTGGGACTGTTTGGCAAGTGGGTTTTGGATTATTTTTTGGCTAAAATTCACAAAAAAAATAAAATAGACTAAAATAATTAATAAGATAAAATGTCACATCAAATCCATAATCATTTCACTTTTTCTCTCACAATATCACATCCAAATATAAAAAAATTAAATCATCTTCCCAAGCACAAAAATTTTAATAGCCTACTAAGATAGCAATTTCCCTGAGTGTTTGGAAAATTGCTATTTTAGTAAGCTATTTTAGTTTTTGACTGTTTTAGGAGACTAAAATTTTTATTTTTGAGAAGATAGTTGAATTTTTTTGTAATTGGACATGATATTTATAAGAAAAAAATTGAAATAATTATAAGTTTGATGTGACATTTTATCTTATTAGCTATTTTAGTCTATTTTGTCTTTTAGTTCTATTTGAACCAAAAAAAGCTAAAAAAATTTCTTCCCAAACACCCTTTTATCTTATTAACTTTTTAATCTATTTTATCTTTTTATAACTAATTTAATTAAAAAAATCAAAAAAACTCACATCCCAAACAACACCCTAACGTGGAAGAATCGGTTTGGGATGAGTGCTCGAAAAATGATGAGATAAATACTCATTTAATTCCATAAACTTAGATTATCACAATTCAACAAGTTTAAGTAATGCACCACCTCCGTACCCACCCAATCTTAAAAGCTATACACTGTCAATAAACATTATTATCAGTCCCTCGAATTTCTAGCTCAAAATTTCACCATGTTTGATAGTCAATTCTTTGAACGGACCCACCTTCATCCATCCTCATAACACACCCATTCCCTCCCTCCACCCCTTTTTTCTCTTGATAGTTTCATCAATGACAATCTTATCCAAAGAAAACATAACCAATTTTTTAACAGAGTTTAGGGAATAGGGACTTCCTCACAAAATCACACCAGGGCTTCAAAACTTCACAAGACATACTTTATCCCTTCTATACCAAATTGTTTGTCATTCTTTAAAAAAATCAAAAAATCACTGTTTTATTAAAGTCGCATCATCTTATTTAAGTCATATTACTTCAAACCCAACTCATATTTTATAAAAAGTCAAAAAGTATACTTATTTAGAACATCTCAAACAATTCCCAAATGTATGAGTCTAAACAAGTCCAATAAGAACTGTATCTAAGATAGCATTGTATTAAAGCTATGTTTGATTTTAACTTTTTGGCTAAAAAAGTATTTAAAAAAAAAAAATTAACTATATAAGTCAATAAGATAAAATGTCACATTTAAACTATAATTATTATACTTTTCTCTTACAAAAGTTAAAAAAAAAATTTTAAAAAAAAATCAAATGAGACTAAAAAATTCAGACTAAAATAGTAAAAAATAAAAAATAAAAAATCAAACTACTTTAATTCTTTCCAAACGAATACTAAAGGACGAGGGAATGGGAGATATTGACAATCAGCAAAAGTTAAATACAGTAAATTTTAAACCGAATCCTTGGTTATATTCCAACGTGAATTCACCCAGAAGTTAATTAAATAAATTAAAAATAAATAGATTGATAATCTTAGAAAAACACAGCAAGAATATGTTGCAATTTTTTTTTTTGGTTATCTAAGGTAGTGCTCCTTACAGAGATTACCAAAGTGTCCTATTATTCAGTCTGAGTAAGGAGACTATAACTTAAGAACTTGTCCTGACTCTTTTCAAGACAAACTCCGCTTAAATCAGGACTCGCACAAAGACTATAACTTGAAAACTTATCCCGATCTCTAAAGACAAGCTCTGCTTAAGTCAAGACTCGTATAACGAGAACATTAAACCCACACCAAGTACGATGAAACTGCTTGAGACTAACCTCCTAATCAACTGTGTTACGCTAAGGAGATTGGCTCAAGAATCTTTGAACTTAGGACCTAGGGCTTAAACTCTAACAAGCCTTTGCCAAGTTGCCGACCACCCTTCGGTTAAAACATAAATGGTACAAAGATTATGAAAAACCCAATTCAAAACCGAAAGATTATGAAAAACCCAATTGGAAACTCAAAAATGAAAATTTTAAAAATTAAAACATGAATGGTACTCAAATATAATCCTATTGCAAAAAAAAATTAACACAATTCTAAACAATAAATCATTTCCCAAATTTCAAACAAAACAAGTTAGCAAAAAATAAAAAATAAATGTGATTACCTTGAAATAGCCTACTCTCTGATTCTGACATCCCTGAAGAACTTCCACCATGTGATTCCACAGATCCTGATGGTTGCACAAACCCACCAGCACCACCTTCTCCTCCTCCTCCACCACCACCACCACCAACACCAATATAGTTCCCTTTAGCCTGTCTAGCAGCAGCCCAAGTAGGCAACCCAAGCGACGGAGCTACCGAACTCCGCCCCATACCCCCTCCGCCGCCGCCGCCGCCGCCGCCGCCATCTCTCTCACCCTTCAAATTCTTCTGTTTCTCCGACCGCCGCCGCTTCGCCTCCATCCTTCTCAACGTCTGCAACTCCTTCCTCTTCCTCCACTCCTCCCCTCCTGTCTCCGCCGGAAGCGAAGCCGACCTCAACAGTGTCGGATGCGAAACCGGCGGCGGCGGCGCTCGCTATCGCATCGCCGCCGTCTCTAACAATCGGAATCGAACTAGCAATCGACGAAGACCGAATCAACTTGCTATTACCACTCTTGTCTACCCCAAATCTTCCACCCAGTGACAACCCAAGATTCAATTCAATCTCTTCATCTTCGTTGCTCATATTTGTCAATTGGGTCGGATTACTAGCCATGAATCTCTGTAATAAATCTCTCGGAAATCTGTTTGTTTCCAGAGAGAGTTTTTCCATCCCACTAAGATTATTTTTTGCTTCACTCATCTCACCAAATCCACCAATATAATTAATTATTCAACTTGAATATGCTATGTGTTTGCAGATTTGAACACTCTGTGCTCTGATTCAGACATACCCAGATGCCAAAACTTCAAGATTAACACCATATTTACTCAGGAATCCTCAAGATTAAAGTTTTATTAACAATTCAAGGCTTGAAAGGGTATACAAAATAGGATGAGAGAGTTTTGAAAGAATCAAAAAGAAATTTTTTTGGGCTGAAAGAAGAGAAAAAAACTTGGAAAAGTAGGAGACAACATAGTGTTTTCATTATTTGACACATATGGAGAGAGAGAGAGACTGGATTCAACTTTTGTGGGATTTTAAATTTTATTTTTACTAGTTTTCTTTTTTTTAAAAATCTGAAATAAAAAAAACGAAAGTTTTAAATTCAAAAGAAGAAGGACAACAAAAAGCATGAGAGTGAGACATTTGAATACATCTATTTACTTAATAAAATAATAAAATCAATAATTATTTCTTAGATTTTGTAATTTTTTCATTCATAAATATAAATTTACACGAGACAATGAATGAAAAAACATGAAAATTCGACAGCTAAAATTTTGTAAGTTTAATATATGTTACATTAAAAATACAGTTTTGCTAATAAGTGCCTCCCAAAAATCCAAATATATATATATATATATATAAATCACAAATTTCAAAATATTTTTAAATCTTTTTGCATATTTTTAAAAAAAATTTAATTTTTATGTCAATATTAAATAATGCTCAGGAACACTTGCTTGCTAGTATTTATCTTAAAATTAAAAAATTTAACAAACCAAATAAAACCATTTCATATAGATCAGACTCACATATTTAAAGAGTTTCATTCCAATATAAGAGGACTGTATCTAATTTTGTAAAATAATGTTAATTATCATCTATTTTGAACATTTTAAAATGTTATTACATAATTACAATCATGAATACAATAGATCTCGTATCAACTACTTTAATACTCAATGATCATAATTATGGTACATAGGAGTGTTTTGAAAAATTGGTAAAAAATTAGTTTTTGACTTTTTATCAAATTTTTTAGTTTTTTGAAAAGTGATTTGGGAAATTGGTAAAAAGTTAACTTTTTACTTTTTAGTTTAATATTTATTTATAGTGTTAAATCAAATTAAAATGACCAAAATACCCTTACCCAACATAAGAAATTTGTTTTTTTATTTTTTTGTCATAAGCCCTAATTTATAATTTTACACTTGTGTTTTTGGCACTTTCCAAACCAATTTTGTTGCGTTTTTGACACTTGCGTTTTTGGACATTTTGTCCAAAAACTTGACTTTTTATTTTGTTCCCAAAATGGCACATAAAACCATATTTAAAATGAGATTAAAAGATACGTTTAACTTAGACCTTGTTCGGCATCCAATTAAAAAAAGACATTTTTTTATATAAAAAAAAAATTGTCTTTAGTAATTTTTTAAAATTTATGTCATTTTTTTTTATTCTTCCAGCATAGAAGAATCCGAAAGTTAAAAAAAAATAAATAAATAAATAAATTAAAATCCAATTAAGTTCATTAAAGACAAAAGGAGGCTAAAAAACAGACTTTTTTATTAGATTTTTTTTTAAAAATTTAGCATGTCTAATCGAGTAGAAATCAAAAGTCTAACAAAATTTACTAAAAATATTTTAAAATTCACTTAAAAAAAAATCAAACACTCAGCTTTTGTTTGAAATATGTTTTGACTTTTTAATTTTTTTAACTATTTTATTTTGGGACTAAAAAGTCTCATTTAGAATAGATTTTTTGACTTTTTTAACTTTTATGAGAGAAAAAATAAAATAATTATGATTTAGATGTGACATTTTGTCCCATTTAATTAAAATAGCTAATTTTGTCATATATAACTATTATAGCCCAAATTACTTTTGAGATCAAATTACGTTTATTTATTTTTGTAAATCTAAAAAGTTGCATAAAGCTATCATCTTACTATTTGAGTAAAAAAGGAACTACTGAAATTATCTGGGTTACTCTATAATTTTAATTTGCTTGATTTTATCTTTAATTTTTTTTATTTTATCTCAATTTAATTTAATTAATAATAATTAGTAGCATTATTTTATGAAAAATATGCACATGAATGACTTGTGTCATTTTTTAAGAACAAAATTATGAATTTAACGATTTAGTGAGCTAATATCAATTAACTCAGTAAATATTTTTTATAAATATGCTTAATGACGTTGTTAATTAGATTAAATTAATATAAATTTTAAAATTAATTGTCAAAACTTACCGATTAAAAGTGTAAGAATTAAAATGAAATAAGAAGTAAAATATAAAAATTACTGATATAATTTGTCCAAATATTTTTGGGAGATTTACCAATAAATCCCAAAATGTAAACTTATGAACCAATTGGTCCCATTTTTATTCTAGTAAACCGTTTAGTCCTAGAAAATTCTAAGAGACGTAATTACCCTCATTTAGACACCACTAATCTCTCTCAGCATTCTCTCTCTCTCACATGGAGACCCAACAACACACATATCTTCTCTCTCTAGCAGACACAAGACACCATGCACACAAAACACCATTAACACACACACCATTAACACACACACTCAGCCCCAGCAGCCACACTCACACACACACACACACACACACACACAGAGCACACACCATACACACAGACACACACACAGCACACACCATACACACACACACACAGCACACGCCAAACACAGCACACACACACAGCACCCACATTGATACACACGCGCGCACACACACACACACACACATGGCTTCAATACGCGCGCGCACACACACACACACTGATGGCTTTAACACACACACACACATTCCCCTCCACCGAGCACCGCCACGGCGGCGTTCCGGCCACCATCTCCGCCACCAAACACCCCAAAGCCCATACGTCCGCAGCCGCTTCCTGCTATCAGGCCACCACTGGCTCCGGCGGCATATACATCGGCGTACCTCTCAACTCAAAACCCACGATCTTCTCTCCCGATTTCTTCGCCAAACCAAAATCAGCGATCTCGCGACATCGTTTTGACATAGAAGAACGTTTTGAAGCTTGAGATCACAGTGAATAAACCCATTCTCGTGAATACATTGAAGACCCTTTAGAATCGACTCTGTGTGTCGCCGATTCCGGCAAGCTCCGGTGACTGGAGTTCTTGAGCTTGTCAGCCAAAGAACCACCCATAGCGTATTCTAAGAACAGATTGAACAATTTCTCGTCGTTTTCGAAGCTGAAATTCCCTCCGAAACACTCGATAATCTGTGGGCAATCTTTGAGTTGTTGTAGAATCGATTTTCATGATCGAGCAAAGCAGAGTGTGAAGACCCACAAGTTTTCACAGCCATTAATGGGGGAAATTGAAGGCTCTGACTAATTGGGTAAAATCGTCCACGCAGTTACACTAAACATGGAAAATAGGATCAGCAAAAAACAAACTTCCCACTGATGGGACTTATCCGAACAAAAGAATAAAGTTGGGACTAATTGGTTTAATAGTTTGTGAATGGGATTATTGATAAATTTTCCAATATTTTTTTATAGTAGAATGTTGACAAAAATACCCTTATGACTGAGGAGAGGAGGAGAAGCTACAAGGAAAGACAAGTGGCGTTTGGGAGGGGGCGTGGGAAGACACGTGGTGAACTAGATTCCTTTTGTTTTTTATTTAATTTTTTGTTAGAAAGAAAGAGCTGTAATCAACAAAAGGCAACCTGCTCTTTTAATTAGGTGAGGACGCGTGTCAGTGTCCTAAAGAGGACGCAATGGCACGTGTCAGTGTCGCTTCGGATTCGCCACATGTCCGTTAAATCATCGGCCTCTCGTAAAGCTGCAACATTGTCGTTGCTTTTTTTGTTAGTATATGGTGTGGGTGTGTTGTGTTTTCAATCATGTCTCGCACTCAGCACTCGCTGTTGTATTGTCCCAAATTTTTTTTTAAAAATGTGTGACTCACGGGTGTTGGGTTTTGACACGTGGAGGCTTACCATTGAAACAGTGCTTTTGAGATTTTTTTTTTTAAAACTTTTTTTATTGATTTTTTCGTTAGTGTCTTTTTTTTTTTTTAATTAAAATTTTGATGTGTTGTTTTATGTTTGAGATAAATTTCAAAAACAAAACAAAATTGAGAAAGAGTTTAGAATTTTTTTTAAATTTGCTTGTTGTATATTTTGAAAAATAGTTTGGAGTTTGAGAGTTGGAATCATTTGATATTTATTATAGTTGAGTAGATATACATGAAAGAAAATGTGATTGATTGATGTGTAATAGAGAAAAAGTAATTTTGGAATTTTTTTGAGAAAATTGTACCAAACATGTTTTTGAAATTTTTTTTTTCTAAAAACATGTTTTAAACACAAACCAAACCAACCTTTTATTTTTTTAAGTTCTATTTAACTAGACTAGTAGTGTTACACGCATCAATTGATATATCAATTAGTGTATTGACATATATTATGATATTATTACTGATTTATAAATATCCAAAATTTCTAAAATTATGCAATATTAATTAGTGCATATAGCATTATTCTAACTAGACAGATAGAAAAGTGATGTTTTAAATAAGTGTAGTTTTTTAATTTTTTACGAAAGAATGTTGTAAAAATAGAAAGTGATGTGATCTAAAAAGATTTAAAAAATAAAAAAAAATAAAAATGTGCTAATATAGATCATACCAAAACAAGTTCTAAAATTAAAATTAAAAAAAAATCTACTAAGAGCCAAAAAAAAAAAGTGTATTTTTTTTAATTGGGATTTATTTATTTTATTTTTCAAATTCTTTTACTTTTAAATTCTTCTACAATAGGCAAATCATAAATACATATATATAAAAAAATTAAAAAGGCTAAATCTCAAGCTAGATCTAAAATAACACTTTCAAATTTACTTACAATGATGTGAGAGTGGATTGAGTTTTAATCGATTAATTTTTAATATATCAATAACTTGTATGTAGTTATTCATAGTATTATACTTTATCCGTTCCAAAATATTAATATCTTATTTTATTTTTATTGTTCTAAAATATTAGTTTATTTTTCAAAAATTAATTACTAAAATAATAATAAATTTCATATTTTATCCTTTTTTAAAATTCATTAACAATACAAAAAGTACACTATGACTTTTGATATCCTAAAAAAAAATTATACTATCAAAGGTAATTTTGAAAAATTGCTATTTTTAAAAATATAAATTAAATTCTCTAAAATGGACTATTATTTTGTAACCGAGAAATAATAAATTTAAGACATATTTTAACGTGTTGTTTATTTTTTCTATTTTTT